AAGGTTGGTTAAGACAATCTCACAATCTCCAGTAATCCTGAAGTAAAAAAATACACAGAAACAGGGTGAATGAAAAAAATGTCTGGAGTGCTGTCCATTTCATTTTTAGCGATGATCTAAGAGAATCCAGCAGCACCCAACTATTTTTGAAGTAGACAGGCTATTGATTCAGCATGTTGTTTTCTAGCTACATTATCCTATACAGTATAGGCATACATACACACTTAAGGCAATTATTTTAGGCAATGTTGCCAGCAATGGTTGCTGCAACTTTTCTCAATGAAAATGAACAACTATTTATTATCTGGGGAATTTTGTGGATGTAAACAATACCAACGATAATTGCATTTTAATTCTAACATTTCACAGTTGTTGCACAACAGGACTGATGCCCTAAGAGCCCATTTAAAGCCAATTTATGCTTGATCCGAAAATGTGGTCAGAGGCGCCATATGGATGGTGTGATGCAATTGCGAAGCCTCGGGAGGCATGCAGAGGCCAAATTGAGCTCCGTACCGCATTATTGTGCGCCTCCCAAATTTTGTAACAATGCAGAGGGCTCCAAATAGCTCCGCATTGACATGATTAGTTGAGGGTAGGTGGGGGCGGGAAGTCCTTTATAAACACAAACTCACTTCCTTGACAACTTCCTTCACAACAGCTCTGCTCAACAGCTCTGTGCTGCTCCTCGAAGACCAAGAAGTATGAATGGCCTGACTCCTGCAAAGGCCGTACACTACATGACCAAAAGTATGTGGACACCTGCTCGTCGAACATCTCATTCCAAAATCATGGGCATTAATATGGAGTTGGTCCCCCCTTTGCTGCTATAACAGCATCCACTCTTCTTGGAAGGCTTTCTACTAGATGTTGGAACATTGCTACGGGAACATTGCTGTGGGGACTTCAGCCATAAGAGCATTAGTGAGGTCGGGCACTGATGTTGGGCGATTAGGCCTGGCTCGCAGTCGGCGTTCCAATTAATCCCAAAGGTGTTCAATGGGGTTGAGGTCAGGGCTCTGTGCAGGCCAGTCAAGTTCTTCCTCACCGATCTTGACAAACCATTTCTGTATGGACCTCACTTTGTGCACGGGGGCATTGTCATTCTGAAGCCGGAAAAGGGCCTTCCCCAAACTGTTGCCACAAAGTTGGAAGCACAGAATCGTCTAGAATGTCATTGTATGCTATAGCGTTAAGATTTCCCTTCACTGGACTAAGGGGCCTAGCTCGAACCATGAAAAACAGCCCAGACCATTATTCCTCCTCCACCAAACATTACAGTTGGCACTATGCATTGGGGCAGGTAGCGTTCTCCTGGCATCCGCCAAACCAGAGTTCAATGGCGGCCAGCCGACACTTGGCACTGCACATGGTGATTTTAGGCTTGTGTGCGGCTGCTCGGCCATGGAAACCCCTTTCATGAAGCTCCCCTGACGAACAGTTCTTGTGCTGACGTTGCTTCCAGAGGCAGTTTGGAACTGTCCCATTCTGTGAGCTTGTATGGCCTACCACTTCATTGCTCCTAGAAGTTTCCACTTCACAATAACAGCACTTACAGTTGACCGGGGCAGCTCTAGCAGGGCAGAAATGTTATGAACTGACTTGTTGGAAAGGTGGCATCCTATGAAGGTGCCATGTTGAACGTCACTGAGCTCTTCAGTAAGGCCATTCTACTGTCAGCAATGGGTGTGGCTGAAATAACCAAATCCACTAATTTGAAGGTGTGTCCACATACTTTTGTATATACAGTGGGGCAAAAAAGTATTTAGTCAGCCACCAATTGTGCAAGTTCTCCCACTTAAAAAGATGAGAGAGGCCTGTAATTTTCATCATAGGTACACGTCAACTATGACAGACAAATTGAGAAAAAAAATCCAGAAAATCACATTGTAGGATTTTTAATGAATTTATTTGCAAATTATGGTGGAAAATAAGTATTTGGTCACCAACAAACAAGCAAGATTTCTGGCTCTCACAGACCTGTAACTTCTTCTTTAAGAGGATCCTCTGTCCTCCACTCGTTACCTGTATTAATGGCACCTGTTTGAACTTGTTATCAGTATAAAAGACACCTGTCCACAACCTCAAACAGTCACACTCCAAACTCCACTATGGCCAAGACCAAAGAGCTGTCAAAGGACACCAGAAACAAAATTGTAGACCTGCACCAGGCTGGGAAGACGGAATCTGCAATAGGTAAGCAGCTTGGTTTGAAGAAATCAACTGTGGGAGCAATTATTAGGAAATGGAAGACATACAAGACCACTGATAATCTCCCTCGATCTGGGGCTCCACGCAAGATCTCACCCCGTGGGGTCAAAATGACCACAAGAACGGTGAGCAAAAATCCCAGAACCACACGGGGGGACCTATTGAATGACCTGCAGAGAGCTGGGACCAAAGTAACAAAGCCTACCATCAGTAACACACTACGCCGCCAGGGACTCAAATCCTGCAGTGCCAGACGTGTCCCCCTGCTTAAGCCAGTACATGTCCAGGCCCGTCTGAAGTTTGCTAGAGTGCATTTGGATGATCCAGAAGAGGATTGGGAGAATGTCATATGGTCAGATGAAACCAAAATATAACTTTTTGGTAAAAACTCAACTCGTCGTGTTTGGAGGACAAAGAATGCTGAGTTGCATCCAAAGAACACCATACCTACTGTGAAGCATGGGGTGGAAACATCATGCTTTGGGGCTGTTTTTCTGCAAAGGGACCAGGACGACTGATCCGTGTAAAGGAAAGAATGAATGGGGCCATGTATTGTGAGATTTTGAGTGAAAACCTCCTTCCATCAGTAAGGGCATTGAAGATGAAACGTGGCTGGGTCTTTCAGCATGACAATGATCCCAAACACACCGCCCGGGCATTGAAGGAGTGGCTTCGTAAGAAGCATTTCAAGGTCCTGGAGTGGCCTAGCCAGTCTCCAGATCTCAACCCCATAGAAAATCTTTGGAGGGAGTTGAAAGTCCGTGTTGCCCAGCGACAGCCCCAAAACATCACTGCTCTAGAGGATATCTGCATGGAGGAATGGGCCAAAATACCAGCAACAGTGTGTGAAAACCTTGTGAAGACTTACAGAAAACGTTTGACCTGTGTCATTGCCAACAAAGGGTATATAACAAAGTATTGAGAAACTTTTGTTATTGACCAAATACTTATTTTCCACCATAATTTGCAAATAAATTACTTTAAAATCCTACAGTGTGATTTTCTGGAATTGTTTTCTCTCATTTTGTCTGTCATAGTTGACGTGTACCTATGATGAAAATTACAGGCCTCTCTCATTTTTTTAAGTGGGAGAACATGCACAATTGGTGGCTGACCAAATACTTTTTTTCCCCACTGTATAGTGTATCACCATAAATGTTGCACGGCCAATGCAGACGATGGATTGACTATGCCTCTCCTTTAACTTGAACTAGAGGGGGACACTAGAGGGGGAAACCAAATGTGCATATAAACCCTGGATTGCTGATGCTATGTATTGGCCATTGAAAGGCTTTGAAGCCACCGGTCGGCCATATTGTCACTCCACACTAGGGGCAATCCTCCATAGAAATTAATGGATTATTACAGTATTTTCAATTAAATGTTTCAAGGGCAAAATTACATTTATTTAAGTATGTTTGGTTGTAGTGGGGACAGTAACATTAGTAATCTCAAAAAATTATACTTTAAGAAATTTTTTCTAGATAGATAGATTTATATATTTATTATTTTTTTGTGGACATAATATAATTTAAAGTATACATGAAGGTGTCTGTAATAGAATAAATGTGACAAAAATGAATGTAGACATTAATAAATGCATTTCTATAGCTTCCAAAATGTGTTTTACAACGGTGGGGCCGTGCCAAGATGGAGGCGCCACCTATTAGTCATCTAGTGCATTTATAAATTATTGGTGGAAACAGGTCTTGTAGTCATCTAGTGCATTTATAAATTATTGGTGGAAACAGGTCTTGTAGAGTTCACCCGAGCTGACAGAGGTTTCCCGCGTACAGAAGCCAGCTGCTTCTCTCTTCAAAGACTAATCCTGTAGGCTGTGTTGTTCCAACTTTCCCACAGCACACTTTCAACAGCGCAACAATGGAAGTGTGCCTTGCTCAATACCGCATTACTCAAGGTCCTCAATGAGGCATCTAATTCCCAAGGGGCCATATGGAAAAATATTACGTTGATACATTGTTGACCGATTGCTGAAAAAAGGGAACTAAGAGAAAATAGTAGTTTTAAAAGTTTCACATAGGCTACCAGACTGTTTCTGTAAAGCCTATATCGAAAATATCCTTACAATGACAACAGACATATAATAATAATAATAATAATAATAATAACAATAATAATAGAAATAACAATAACAACAACAATAAGATGAAGAACAATAATAATAATAATATTAGTTTTAGAATGACATAATTATTAGCCCATATAATTATTAGCCTATATTTATTACAATACTGTTGTAATTATTTTGTATTATAATACAGTAGTAGGCCTTATAAGAGTGGCTATTATAATCATAATAATATGCGCATATGAAACATTTTGTAAGGTTGAATGAATTCATCAAAATAACTAATTAATCAAAATAATTGCGGGAGAAAGCATACAGCAGTAAGGCCTCTTGATCCTGAATAATCTTCTGGAAGCCCATTCACTTATTGAGGACTTGTTTTCCCGCCTTTAGGTCTGAGAGTCTTTCAAGTGAATGGAGCAACATCTTGGAATGCAGTTGCAAGGAACAGAGTCAACTATTTGACAGCACTCTTTTATTGCACACTCCACCTGTTCCCTTGGGACACGCTCATTGTCCCAAGGCAATAGACAGTCAATTTAGCATGAAGTAATTGAAGCCTCTGCCATTGTACTGTCTGCGTTCCTGATTGGCCAGCATGTGTGGGAAACCCCTGTCAAACTGAGACCCACACGGGTTTACAGTGTGAGGGGTGTATAAATACAGAAGCCCTGTCGAGATGGCCAAACCACACTTCTAACGTTCGACAACTATCTTTACCTAGAACAAACAACTGACCGACAGCAATGGCTCCTGTCAATATTTGCAACATGGTGATGACAACGAAAGATAAAATCAAAGTAAGTACAAATAGGCTACTGTCCTCTATCTTCCTCAATTGAATTAGTTATGTTTGAATTTTAACATGATTTTTAAACTGCAATTAAACTAATCAGATCCTCTATTTTCTCCAGTTTAGAAAACCAGTGGTGGAAAAGATGCGCCGAGACCGCATTAACAGCAGCATCGAACAGCTCAAGACACTCCTCAAAACCGAACTTCAAGCACACCAACCCAACTCGAAACTGGAAAAGGCTGACATTCTCGAGACAGCTGTGTTTTACCTGAAAGACAACAGCATGCGCCCTGCTGCTTCATTCAACGCAGCGTCACCTGTCCAGAGCTACGCGGAGGGATTCACCCGCTGCCTGGAGGAGACGCTGCGCTTCCTCTCAGCGAACAACCAGCCGGCTGGCTCACAACAGAAGCTTCTCAATCACTTCCATCGGGCTCAGAAACTTGGTGACAGAGTCGTGCTGAGTCCAAACCGCGTGACGGTCCCTCACAACAGCAGCACTCCGAAACGTGTCACCGCAGGTGGAAGAGGGCCTCTGTGGAGACCATGGTGATGCTCATAGCCTATTTGGAGACGTTCAATAATGAGACTTTCGATGTCAAAACCAGAAAATCTGTTGGTCTAGCACGACACAGTATGCTCTTCTTGTTGGAAATTATTCTTCCCTATACAATTTTATATTTTGTTCGTAAAAGTAGAAATTATTGTTATTCTTCTGTGTAGAATTGTAATATCCTGTATTGTGCTAATGTGCATGTATTATTAACTTTACAATTGCGAAGTAAAATGTTTTTACATATTGTAAAATATATTAATATAATATCTTGGTGTATCTATTTCTGGGAAAATACCTCAGCCCTATGTTGCTGAATTGTAATTTGTCCTGAAACAAACTGTGATTGGAACATTGTCTATCACGTTGATATGGCAATATTCCCAATAAATAAATGAAATGACAATTTATGGATGAATCTCTAACTATTATATAGCCTAACCATGGTTTGTAGACACAACACTTAGGCTACAACTCAGCAGAGCACATACAATAAGGTGGCACCTGAGGGCCAGGTATGTGATCTGACGTCATGGAATGAAAATACATAATGTTACACATTACAAAATGATCTGCCAACAGGCGTACACAATTATTTAGACCTAGTAATACTTCAGAAAATGACTTGGGTAAATGAAGCCATGCAAGCCTTGAAAATCCAAACCTTATATTTTGTAAGGCTAATTATTTTTTTTTAAGAGCTGAGGGCATTAATTTCTCCCCGGTAATTTAGCGGATTTTGTTTGCAGTGGTCTATTTCGCTAATATAACCCCACCATAAGAACCTCCAAATGTGTTGTCACTCCAGAAATGGTAGAAGCTTGATTTTGGGCGGGAGAATGAAGGCATGAAAGGCTCCAGTCTGTTGAGTAAACATTTTCAAACTGAATGGTACAGCTGCTGTTTAGAACACAAAAGCTAGCACAACCGCCTCCGGAAAGCCCTAGCTAACCTGCAACCTGAGCTTCTTTCCCACAGTCGCACCATTCAGAACTGTCAATTAGAAGTGTGTGCCGAATTTCGCTCGAACATTCTCAATCCCACGCATGGCATTTTATTGCTGGTATGAGGCCATATGTTTAAAAAAAATAATAATCGGATAAAAATCTTCCAAGCCTGAAATGTACAACAATAGCATAAACAGTTAGATAGGACCAGTGAATATTAATAGGCCTACTGATCATTGAAGGGAAGAATGGACATCATATAATTCAAAGGGTGATGGGGACTTATTTGAAGCAACACACATGGAGCTCTCCCAATTGTGCTGCACAACAGACATAATGTTATTCCATAAATCTGCATAACAATGCATTCCACTGCAGTATGTATCACAAATGAGATCAGCCCCTGGAATAGTTGGCATAACTTTGTAATGACACTAACACTATAAAGTACCCAGGACTTGTCCTGAGTAGTTTTGACATGACAAAAGAACAATTATGCTTCAGACTTCTTTCAATAGGAATAGTAGGCTAACACTTCATTTGTAGTCCCCTACAGATGGTTTGGAAATGTTCAACTAATGAGTTGCAAATGTGCATGTGACCAGCTTAAATATTGTGTTTGTTTGGATGATGGATAAGATCTGTTTCTTTCCATTTCCCTCTAGTTAATCAGCACCACTGCCTATGCCTGCACATTGGCTCTGGTTGCCTGATCTCATTAGAATTCATAACAGTGGAATAAGTTGTGATGAGAAAGTTGAGTATAAAAAAAGAGACAGCAGGTTCTGTGGGCCTATACACTGAGTGTACAAAACATTAGGAACACCTTACTAATATTGAGTTGCACCCCTCACCCCTTTGTCCTCAGAAAATACTCAAATTGTCAGGGCATGGACTCTACAAGGTGTCGAAAGCGTTCCACAGGGATGCTGGCCCATGTTGACTCCAATGCTTGGGTGGTGGACCATTCTTGATACACCAGGAAACTGTTAGCGTGAAAAACCCAGCAGCATTGCAGTTCTTGACATAAACCGGTGCGCCTGGCACCTACTACCATACCCTGTTCAAAGGCACTTAAATATTTTGTCTTGCCCATTCACCCTCTGAATGGCACACATACAGTACACAATCCATGTCTCAATTGTCTCATGGCTTATGCTTTGGATAAAAGCGTCTGCTAAATGGCATATTATTATATTATTATTATAAATCCTTCTTTAACCTGTCTACTTCCCTTCATCTACACTGTTTGAAGTGGATTTAACAAGTGACATCAACAAGGAATCATAGCTTTCACCTGGATTCACCTGGTTAGTCTATGTCATGAAAAGAGCAGGTGTCCTTAATGTTTCGGTGTCTGTTAGGCAGTGCTCTTTCCCATGTCTACACTTACAGCACTAATGCTTGGACTTGTTTTGTGTAGAAGTGTGTCTCTAACACTTTGAACGATGGGAGAGTATGCCAGAGGCCCAGTAATGATGTCTCCTCACATCTGACTTCGATGTGACAGGAGTGCGACACTAAAGACACCACAGTGAATGTGACAAGGTAGTGTGCTGGCACACACGCCAACGTCCTGACAGGCAGTAAAAATCTCAGCTTTGTACTTTGACACCTCAGTGTGGGACAGTGCTCCCAGTTCCCACTGGTCATATTCCCATTTCAACTTGTCAAATTGGTTAAAGAAACTGGAGTAACACCAACTTAAAAATGTGTCAGTCTCATTAACAACAAGGAATGGCCACACTCAGAAACAAAAAGATGACATTAAAAACAAATGTTTAATATCATTTCTGAAATAATGTAATTAGCATTATTATACATTGAATAATGGTCAATGCCTATTATTACCAATACAGGCACATTCGAAGACAAATCATTTCTATTTCTATTTAACAAAAAAATAAATACAAAATACATTTTATTAAAATATATCCCCCTCAACTTTTGTTTTAAAAGCAAGATGGCATGAAATTGAGATTTAGACTGAGCAATCACATGCAGTTGAAGCATTAGCACTTACATTTTTTTTTTTAAACAACAGTAAGTGTGCTGTTGCTGAGGTAAACCTGCTTAGATGGCAAAGCAGGGTTTAAGTAAAAAGGTAACGGCACCCTCATAGCCAGATACTGTATGCCCAGCCATAGCTCAAGTGTAACAAGTGCATCACCTTCCTATCAGAGACAGTCAGGGGGTTGAGTATTATACTGTGATAACACAAAAAACCAAAACACAGTGAGGAACTCACATTATTGCAGTTTCGATACACACAACCATGTTTACTGAGTATAGGTTAAGAAGGACGGTTAGTAAGGACTTTTTTTTAGCACCAAAAATGGATGTAACAACCATCCTTTTCTCTTTTTTGCCATCGGACCAGAACACCTAAAATAATCAACATTGGGGTTTGATACCATACAGTGAGGGGAAAAAGTATTTGATCCCCTGCTGATTTTGTTCGTTTGCCCACTGACAAAGAAATTATCAGCCTATAATTTTAATGGTAGGGTTATTTGAACAGTGAGAGACAGAATAACAACAAAACAATCCAGAAAAACGCATGTCAAAAATGTTATAAATTGATTTGCATTTTAATGAGGGAAATAAGTATTTGACCCCCTCTCAATCAGAAAGATTTCTGGCTCCCAGGTGTCTTTTATACAGGTAACTAGCTGAGATTAGGAGCGCACTCTTAAAGGGAGTGCTCCTAATCTCAGCTTGTTACCTGTATAAAAGTCACGTGTCCACAGAAGCAATCAATCAATCAGATTCCAAACTCTCCACCATGGCCAAGACCAAAGAGCTCTCCAAGGATGTCAGGGACAAGATTGTAGACCTACACAAGGCTGGAATGGGCTACAAGACCATCACCAAGCAGCTTGGTGAGAAGGTGACAACAGTTGGTGCGATTATTCGCAAATGGAAGAAACACAAAAGAACTGTCAATCTCCCTCGGCCTGGGGCTTTATGCAAGATCTCACCTCGTGGAGTTGCAATGATCATGAGAACGGTGAGGAATCAGCCCAGAACTACACAGGAGGATCTTGTCAATGATCTCAAGGCAGCTGGGACCATAGTCACCAAGAAAACAATTGGTAACACACTACGCCGTGAAGGACTGAAATCCTGCAGCACCCGCAAGGTCCCCCTGCTCAAGAAAGCACATATACAGGGCCGTCTGAAGTTTGCCAATGAACATCTGAATGATTCAGAGGAGAACTGGGTGAAAGTGTTGTGGTCAGATGAGACCAAAATCGAGCTCTTTGGCATCAACTCAACTCGCCGTGTTTGGAGGAGGAATACTGCCTATGACCCCAAGAACACCATCCCCATCCCCACCATCAAACATGGAGGTGGAAACTATGCTTATGCTTTGGGGGTGTTTTTCTGCTAAGGGGACAGGACAACTTCACCGCATCAAAGGGACGATGGACGGGGCCATGTACCGTCAAATCTTGGGTGAGAACCTCCTTCCCTCAGCCATGGCATTGAAAATGGGTCGTGGATGGGTATTCCAGCATGACAATGACCCAAAACACACGGCCAAGGCAACAAAGGAGTGGCTCAAGAAGAAGCACATTAAGGTCCTGGAGTGGCCTAGCCAGTCTCCAGACCTTAATCCCATAGAAAATCTGTGGAGGGAGCTGAAGGTCCGAGTTGCCAAACGTCAGCCTCGAAACCTTAATGACTTGGAGAAGATCTGCAAAGAGGAGTGGAACAAAATCCCTCCTGAGATGTGTGCAAACCTTGTGGCCAACTACAAGAAACGTCTGACCTCTGTGATTGCCATCAAGGGTTTTGCCACCAAGTACTAAGTCATGTTTTGCAGAGGGGTCAAATACTTATTTCCCTCATTAAAATGCAAATCAATTTATAACATTTTTGACATGCATTTTTTTTGTTGTTGTTATTCTGTCTCTCACTGCTCAAATTAACCTACCATTAACATTATAGACTGATCATGTCTTTGTCAGTGGGCAAACGTACAAAATCAGCAGGGGATCAAATACTTTTTTCCCTCACTGTAGCTGTCATGAAATATAGATTTTTGTCAAAGGATGTTGAAATGACAGATGGTCAGTTAATTCTTATAATATATCAAGTCAGTTTTGTATAATAAAAAAAAAAACAAGGTTCCTCTCAGAAAGTCTATCTTGCTTAAAAGCTGTGAATACTTTTCTCAGGACAGGACACGTGGAGACGTGGAGTAGCCTCAGGACCAGTCAGCACTGAGATGGTCAGAAACAGAGGATCAGATACAGCAGCCATTTGATTAAAAACAGAAGATTGATTAATTAGAACTAGTTTGACTATGTCTGTGGATCCATGGGACGTTTTCATAGTGCCATTCTTCTTTACAGCTAGCAGGCAGCCTGAGCTGGCTCAGCTCCTGCTGATCTCATGAAGTGCCAGAGACGGGCGCTGTTGCGCCCCCTTTCAATTTAGAACAGCTAACACCATTTCCCCAACTCGGTCCTCGGGACCCCAAGGGGTGCACCTTTTGTTTTTTGCCCTAACACTACACAGTTGATTAAAATTATCAAAGCTTGATGATTAGTTGATTATTTTAAATCAGCTGTGTAGTGCTAGGACAAAAACCAAAACGTGCACCCCTTGGGGTCCCGAGGACCGAGTTCGGGTAACCCTGAGCTAATAATTACATTTGTACTTGTGTCTAGCTTCAGTGCAGGCTTGTAAGGGCAAAAAGGACCAAAACTTGGACGAGTAAGGAGCAGGTTTCTCTCTTCATTTCATTGTCAGTCTTGACTGGAGAGAGGGATAGGAGAAAAGGCTAGGATTGGATGAGGGGGGCCTAATGGGTGGGGTGGGTACAGTACTGTCTTTTTAACCCATGTAGGGGTACTTCCATTCTCTGAGCGGGATGTGGGTGGCCTTGACCACCTGAGGGGATGTCCATCGCAGGACGTAGTGAGGACCACCAGGTTTGTCATTGGTACCTATGCAGACAAGAGAGTTCATGTTTTAGCTGTTATTAGTGCTTATATTTGTCCTATTTCATATTAATAAAAATGATGTAGGCAGAAGGCATTATGTCAGACACAGAGAGCTCACCAGGAGTCATGAAAAGTCCGGCTTCATAGAACTGTTGACAGTCAAATGGATATCAATGCTTTGGAGTGGTTTGTTGGTCATTTTACCTGAAGCTCTGGCGCCACCAAATGGTTGCTGGGCAACAATCGAGCCGGTGGACTTGTCATTCACGTAGTAATTTCCTGCAGCGTTCCTCAAGGCCTTGGCTGCCTCATCTAAAACATTCCTGAAACAAATATGATTAAAGGGTTAGGACATTTTCTTGAGAAGTGTCACTCTTTCAGTGTAAAGTCAAATCTATTAGCAATGAGCGGATCATAGTAGGCTTGGTTGGCATTCATAATAAATTATATTATGTTCTTTCTTCAGGGAGCAAGCAACCCTTTCACAGTAAAATTATGCCACTCCATAGAAAACCAGATGGAGTGTTCTAACTTACTTGTCAAGAGCGAAGACCGCTCCTGTCAGGGCGTATGGTGATGTGTCGTCTATAAGGTTTAGAACCTCCTTGTAGTTGTTCTCAGGGTAAACATAGACAGATAGAACTGGCCCAAAGATTTCCTACAGGATGTTAATCAAGAACAGAGTTATAAGAAAGTTAGTAGTTATAAAGTTCCATATTAATTGAGCTACCTTAATGAAGTTTTGGAGAATGGAGGACTGGCCCAGTCCCCCATTTATGAAGTATAGCGTGAAACATGGCTTTAGTTAAACAAACATGCAGTGTTCATTCCACACATCGCTTTATACAGTGCCTTCCAGAAAGTATTCACACCCCTTGACTTTACAGCTTGAATTTTAAACTGATTAAATTGAGATTTTTTGTCACTGGCCTACACACAATACCCATGTAATGTCAGTGGAATTATGTTTTTCTAAATTTATTAAAAATGAAAAGCTGAAATGTCTTGAGTCAATAATTATTAAAACTCTTTGTTATGGCAAGCCTAAATAAGTTCAGGAGTAGAAATGTGCTTAATTAGTCACTTAGCACATTTAGTCACATAATAAGTTGCATGGACTCACTCTGTGTGCAATAATAGTGTTTAACATGATTTTTGAATGACTACCTCATCTCTGTACCCCACACATACAATTATCTGTAAGGTCCCTAAGATTAGCAGTGAATTTCAAACACAGATTTGACCACAACGACCAGTGAGGTTTTCCAATGCCTCACAAAAAAGGGCACCCATTGGAAGATGGGTAAAAATGATTGAATATCCCTTTGAGCATGGTGAAGTTATTCATTAAAATGGGCAAATGTTATACAATCCAGGTGTGGAAATCTCTTAGAGACTTACCCAGAAAGACTCACATCTGTAATCGCTGCCAAAGGTGCTTCTACAAAGTATTGACTTAGGTGTGTGAATACTTATGTCAATTAGATATTTCTGTATTTCATTTTCAATCAATTGGCAACAATTTCTAAAAACATATTTTCACTTTGTCATTATGGGGTATTGTGTGTAGATGGGTGAGAGAAAAAAATCTAATTAATTCATTTTGAATTCAGTCTGTACCAACAAAATGTGAAATAAGTCAAGGGGTATGAATACCTTCTGAAGGCACTGTACATGTATATATAGGTAATCCAAGCACTTAGCCCTCTGCCTGACCGCTGGCATCTCAGTTAAAACTGATAAAATAATCCTGTTCCTTTTCTCCATAAAACAGCAATATCTATTAGACTAGAATAAATTAACAAGTCAGTCATTTTCAGCAATTCAGACCCAACTGACTTAGTCTATAAAGTAATTATGACATGTACAGTATGTATGTCTGGTATAACTCTGGCAAGTTGATTCAAAGAAGTGAGAACACACATGGTTCTCAGCTGTTTATTCTAAGATCTTTAAACTGGAATTGTTATGTAGTAGGTAGGTTTGTGTGGTAGGCCAGTTAGTCAGCACACAGTCAGGCCAGGTACTCATTCCACCCCTAGGGGGAAGTGGCACCCTGGGCCATTTAAGGAAGCTCCAGTATGCATTAGAAGTCTGTGGTGTGCACAGGAGGGGGGGATTACCAAGCTAATCAACTGAACAAGGGTGATCTCCCGACCCACAGGGCTTTTGATTTTGTATCTTTCGTTTGACATGCCCTTTTGGAGTTTTTATCACCAACTGAACATCAACGACCCGCTTGTGCTGGCCCGACCAGAGTCACGCCGGAGCTGTCCCCCCGGATCCCCGGTAAGCGAACCCTCTGTTCCCAGGCACACCCACACACAACACGGACCGCACATTCATACTTTCACGGTAATGCACCAGCCTAGTCAGGTTACAGAACAATTAGGCAAGACTAGGGCCCCTAGACACAGCAAGTATAGTTTCACAGCAGGTTGTCTAATCGGTTCCGTAACATAATCACATTATGAAGTTCCATAGGCTAACAGTGGTGGGGAAAGAGGTGATCTACAATAACTACATATCTACAATATCAAGTCTTACCTCGGCCATGATGGCTTCCTGTGGGTCTGTGCTCTCAATGATGGTGGGCTCCACAAAGTAACCCTTCTTGTCATCACAGCGGCCCCCAGCAATTATGTTCAATTTAGGGGATGACTTGGCATGGTCCAACCACTTCTTAATACGAGCAAAGGACTAAAATAAAAAAAGTCACCCCAAATGTGAAATCATTAAAAATATATAATAAACATAAACTCTTGTTGAGAAGAAATAAAGCTTCTGATCAAGCATCCAGTGTGGTGAATATTTCACAGTACTGTACCTTGTCATCAATCACAGCAGAGAAGAATGTACTCCAGTCCTCCACGGGCTAGACAGGGGAAACAGAAAGACAGTTACAACAACCTGACATCAAATGAACACTTACAGTATAAACCTAAACACTTTCAAAGAACTCCTACGGGAGAACAACTCAACTGGCTGCATCTATTACCACCAAAATAACCCTAGTGCCAAAGTGACTGATGAATCTGACAGTCCTAGGAGCTAAGGTCAGTTGTACACTCACGTCTCCCACTTTGAGCTGCTTGTGGATGTCCAGGAGCCCCTGTTTGATCTGGGGCCACAGGGAGTCTGGTACATACATCCTGGAGCAGGCTGAGCACTTCTGCCCTCCGTACTCAAACGCAGAGCGGATGGTCCCAGTCACCACACTCTGCACGTCCGCAGACTTGTGCACAAAGTGGAAGTTCTTACCGCCGCACTCTGAAAGACATGACAGAGGAGAACGTCAGCGAAGCAATGAGAAAATAGTGATATAGGTTAGGGATGTGACAAATGGACAATTTTCCTTAACGTTTAAACAGCTAATAAAAAATTAAAAAATTAAATATTCCACGTCATTTCACAATGCAGAATAATTGTCCTATTACGCATGTATGACCACTAAAGGTCCAGGAAATGAAGTTATATCTACCGCTGTCATATACCCTTGAAAGCGCCTCGGCTATGGCATGTTTGTTTGTCTGTAAGGGTACACTACGGCTAGTTTAAATGCCGACACGAAACAAACTCTGTAGATAGTTTCGAAGCGCCACTGAACGGACGAATGTTCCGCTAGGAATTGACTCCTAATATTCAGAACTTTTGGAACGGAGGAGACTGATTAGTTGACGTACTTCCGAGAACACAAACACACACATCTTTCATAGCGAGCTAGCTATGGATGGAGAGAAAGGCGAGGGGCACAGTATAGGCTGGTCGGCTACAAGGCAGACGGAGTCAGAACCGTGCACTAGGCCTATCTATCGGCAATCACAATCTGTATCTCGCAATGGAATGCTGTATAGCAATATCTTGGATTGCCATGTCTCGCAACTTCAGTAAAGCAGGGCCTATCATCAATGAATAGGCTAGGATATTGTACACGCAACAGACCGAAGTCTGAACACACACTACCATCATTAGCGAAGAGAAAGAGCAGGGATTTTTCTTAACGTTAAGCATCCCAATTTTGTTGAAATGTTTTAACGTTCACACCCCTAATATAGATCTAAGTATAAAGATGATATTCCCATGTAATGTTCAGTTAGTTAAATAGCTAATGATGGTGTACAGGTTGTAAAGCTAGTGTGTGGCAGTGTACAGGTTGTACAGCTCGTGTGTGGCAGTGTACAGGTTGTAAAGCTAGTGTGTGGTGGTGTACATGTTGTAAAGCTAGTGTGTGGTGGTGTACAGGTTGTAAAGCTAGTGTGTGGTGGTGTACAGGTTGTAAAGCTAGTGTGTGGCGGTGTACATGTTGTAAAGCTAGTGTGTGGCGGTGTACATGTTGTAAAGCTAGTGTGTGGTGGTGTACATGTTGTAAAGCTAGTGTGTGGTGGTGTACATGTTGTAAAGCTAGTTTTTGGTGGTGTACATGTTGTAAAGCTAGTGTGTGGTGGTGTACAGGTTGTAAAGCTAGTGTGTGGTGGTGTACATGTTGTAAAGCTAGTGTGTGGTGGTGTACATGTTGTAAAGCTAGTGTTTGGTGGTGTACATGTTGTAAAGCTAGTGTGTGGTGGTGTACATGTTGTAAAGCTAGTGTGTGGTGGTGTACGGGTTGTAAAGCTAGTGTGTGGTGGTGTACGGGTTGTAAAGCTAGTGTGTGGTGGTGTACATGTTGTAAAGCTAGTGTGTGGTGGTGTATGGGTTGTTGGTCCAACCCACCTCCTCCCACCCGAGGGAAGTTCTTGTAGATATCCAGGTTCTGGGCCACCTGTTTCCACAGACGCTTGAAGGTCCTGAAAAAGATGAATGGGTTGTTAAGAAACTCCAGGGGTTATCACACATTATGTGACACTGGTCTACACCAAAAGTGGCAGACAGTTTCAGGTTAATATACATAAATGTATACAGACGGAGACATACGGGACACTGCCGGTGAAGTTGATGCCAGCCAGATGTTCAGAGGAAGTGATGGTGTCTCCAAACACTGGTCCGTCAGCTGGCACAAACTGGATGATGTTGGGGGGCAACCCTGAATCCCGCAGGACATTGTAGACGGCGTAGCTAGCTGACATGGCTGCGTCGCTAGGCTTCCACAGAACAACATTACCCTGACAAACACAGAGCCGGGGAAAACAAAGAAAGTCCAGTTCAGTTCAGACTATAACCAACAAGACACACATGAGGAAATGAATATGAAGTAAATTACAACTATAAGGACATTTTTGTATTGTTGTTAGTAGGAGGGGACTTACCATGAGAGCAGGTGTACCTGCTAGGTTTCCACCAATTGCAGTGAAGTTAAATGGAGAGACAGCGGCTACAAAACCCTATAGTTAATGGGGAAATAAGTGTTGACATAAACAACTCCTGGAATATAAGAGTTCCAGAAATCAATCCTAACATATCACCAAGTATACATGTTTTTAGCTGTGACTGACTATTATTAAGTTTAACAGATAATGCTAGGACCAGTGAGTGCTCACCTCCAGCCCACGGTAGAGCATGGTGTTGGTGCTACCATCACTGTCCAGGGGCTGCTGGCTCTCCAGTTCAACAGCGTGCTTCGCATTAAAACGGAAGAAGTCTATTAGCTCTGCAGCCGCATCAATCTCTGCCTGCACCACCGTTTTGCCCTAGAAAAAAAAGAGGAACAAATATTAAATAGAAAGCAGAGGGGATGAATATCACTCAATTCAAACAGAGGATATCCCCTTGGTGATATTCAACCATGCCACAAACATACAGTAAGACTATGAAAACCCAATGTAGGCAAAATAGTTCACTGTACCTGGCCTATCATGGTCTTGGCCAGAATCTCGGCTCTCTTAGGTCCACTGATGATGTCGGCAGCCTTAAAGAGGACCTGGGCTCGGTCCTGGATGGGTTTCAGGTCCCATTCCCTCCTCGCCGCCACAGAGGCCAAGATAGCTTTGTTGAGCAGGTCCTGCATCAATCATACCGAGGCAACACCATCCAGTCATGTCATGTAAATCTTGGTCAAAAACAGAAGAATTGTACTCTTAGTTTACCTTGTCAGCATAGCAAAACTTGGCCAGTTTGTGTGAGTGGTTGAAGGGCTTTGAAAAAGAAGAGAAAGAATTACATTGATTAATAGGTAATGATACCTTCAGGAAATACAATTTAAAGACAGTGTGGTACTGGTCTGTATCAAAAGAAAGAAATAACAGGCAGGCCTCCAGCACAGGTAGCATGTTGGTTTATGATAGCCAATGGATCTTATCAGAAACCGAAGATAACACACAGCTGATAACCCAACGGTATTACAGTCATTTACAGATTAACTTGACAGACCTTGAATGCTTCTGTTTGGCTTAGACAGTATGCTGTGTATCTGAGCAGCAGTGCGAGTGAAAAGTGAGAGCTTCAGTCTCCAGGCTCCCATATTTGCAGGCAGCATGGAGCAATAGTTTGCTCAGATTAGGGACATGCCGTTGACCCTACTCACCGATAGCTGGTATCTGATGTCTTTGGTCCACACATGTTCATCTCCAACCACACAGGGAATCTCCTCTGTCTTCCCCTTCAGGTCATCCAGGGCCTATCACACACACACAACATTATTGTGTCTCACGTTTTACAGAGATTACCTTGTTATAGGTCATGAAGGGCATACAGTGAGGGAAAAAAGTATTTGATCCCCTGCTGATTTTGTACGTTTGCCCACTGACAAATACATGATCAGTCTATAATTTTAATGGTAGGTTTATTTGAACAGTGAGAGACAGAATAACAACAAAACAATCCAGAAAAACGCATGTCAAAAATCTTATAAATTGATTTGCATTTTAATGAAGGAAATAAGTATTTGACCCCTCTGCAAAACATGACTTAGTACTTGGTGGCAAAACCCTTGTTGGCAATCACAGAGGTCAGACGTTTCTTGTAGTTGGCCACCAGGTTTGCACACATCTCAGGAGGGATTTTGTTCCACTCCTCTTTGCAGATCTTCTCCAAGTCATGAAGGTTTCGAGGCTGACATTTGGCAACTCGAACCTTCAGCTCCCTCCACAGATTTTCTATGGGATTAAGGTCTGGAGACTGGCTAGGCCACTCCAGGACCTTAATGTGCTTCTTTTTGAGCCACTCCTTTGTTGCCTTGGCCGTGTGTTTTGGGTCATTGTCATGCTGGAATACCCATCCACGACCTATTTTCAATGCCCTGGCTGAGGGAAGGAGGTTCTCACCCAAGATTTGACGGTACATGGCCCTGTCAATCGTCCCTTTGATGCAGTGAAGTTGTCCTGTCCCCTTAGCAGAAAAACACCCCCAAAGCATAATGTTTCCACCTCCATGTTTGACGGTGGGGATGGTGTTCTTGGGGTCATAGGCAGCATTCCTCCTCCTCCAAACACGGCGAGTTGAGTTGATGCCAAAGAGCTCGATTTTGGTCTCATCTGACCACAACACTTTCACCCAGTTCTCCTCTGAATCATTCAGATGTTCATTGGCAAACTTCAGACGGCCCTGTATATGTGCTTTCTTGAGCAGGGGGACCTTGCGGGCACTGCAGGATTTCAGTCCTTCACGGCTTAGTGTGTTAACAATTGTTTTCTTGGTGACTATGGTCCCAGCTGCCTTGAGATCATTGACAAGATCCTCCCGTGTAGTTCTGGGCTGATTCCTCACCGTTCTCATGATCATTGCAACTACACAAGGTGAGATCTTGCATGGAGCCCCAGGCCGAGGGAGATTGACAGTTCTTTTGTGTTTCTTCCATTTGCGAATAATCGCACCAACTGTTGTCACCTTCTCACCAAGCTGCTTGGCGATGGTCTTGTAGCCCATTCCAGCCTTGTGTAGGTCTACAATCTTGTCCCTGACATCCTTGGAGAGCTCTTTGGGCTTGGCCATGGTGGAGAGTTTGGAATCTGATTGATTGATTGCTTCTGTGGACAGGTGTCTTTTATACAGGTAACAAACTGAGATTAGGAGCACTCCGTTTAAGAGTGTGCTCCTAATCTCAGCTCGTTACCTGTATAAAAGACACCTGGGAGCCAGAAATCTTTCTGATTGAGAGGGGGTCAAATACTTATTTCCCTCATTAAAATGCAAATCAATTTATAACATTTTTGATTTTTTTTTTGTTATTTTGTCTCTCACTGTTCAAATAAGCCTACCATTAAAATTATAGACTGATCATTTCTTTGTCAGTGGGCAAACATACAAAATCAGCAGGGGATCAAATACTTTTTTCCCTCACTGTATACTGAATGGTGCATGTGGTGGGTATGTTTGCTTGAGAGTGTGTGCTGTGTGTGTATGATTGTGTGCATGTATGATTGTGTGTGTATGTACACCTTCTGCAGCACGGTCCTCTCTGGACTGCCCTCGTTGAATCCCAGGATTGGCTCATTCTTCACCTCAACAGCTGCACAGGGGAAGGTCCTGAAACTGCACACAGACAGACACACATGCTAGGACCAATGTACACCAAGTGAAGACAGACAGACAGATATGTATGAGGCAGATATTTCCACATACATTCCATCCAAAAATCTGAGACTCTCATCTTGAAGCATTTGTTCATCAATATGTTACAGCCCTATACCTGAGGTAGCCTACAGGCCATTCATTCACTTCACCCTTTATACTATTTTTACAGCTTTGTTTTGAATGCCATTCAGGTTCATTTTGAGGCAAGTCCAAATCCTCACATTCTATAAACCAGGCACAATGTTTTTGACCTGAATAAGGCTTTACTGGCCATGTAGATTGTGGTCGTGGTACAATGTTGAACTCTGTCTTTAATGAGTATACAGGTGGTCTCAGTGCTGATTCTGTCCTGCCTCTTCACTGCTACATGTTGGCAAGCTGCGGTCTTGTGTCAGCTGGAATAAGTAATTTACTTAAGTAATTTCACATCAGTTATTCTGGCCGTGACACCTTATAGCAGCAAGCAAGCAATTGCAATAAGAATGTTTTCTTGTTACACTCCTCTCTGTGAGTCAGGGTAAAGTGTCTAGTTAAAAGTTATTTGTGGAAAAGTTACAACACTGCCAAACTTCTGGTGACTGTGCATGCATTTCCTCAAAAATTATGAACTACTCTAGTCTAAATAATCAGTGAAGGTCAGAGTTTCAAACCGGACAGACAGGGGCTGGTATTCAAATATTTAAAAATGAAACTCAAATCCTTCTCCCCTGACACACAGATGCACACATATGGAATCAATTAAATTATTAGCCTACTGGCTTCCCATATTTACACAGATGCTTCTCTGTCAATGGGTGATCTGGTGTACAAAAGACAACCTTTATAATGTTTATTGATCTTCCTCACCATAGACCTCTAAAGAGATTCAAGATTCCTATATAATGTTTTAATTGGGGTTACTGCATAAACAAACATATGGAAATTCAGATCAGATCAGAGTGTCTTGAGTCCATTTCTTGTATTACACCAGTCCCACTTCAGACTTTTTACTAACCACATTTTAGCTCAAGTCATGTCGAGAACATGTATCATTAAGATGCCATATTGTTGAATGAATGTGCACTTCCGTGAACTGTTACCTTCACGCATGCGGCTTGGAATGTTAACCAGAAGAAACAAAATCATAAATAACTTATTTAAACTCATTTAGCTCGTCCTTCACGTTGAAAGGGTCTGGTGGCTGGCAGGGAAAAGTATCTTAAATCATTACATAACACATTTAGCATTGCCTTTAATTGGCAGTTTATTTGTAATTGTCCTACTTGGACAGTTCTACAGTGGCAAAAAACGTTCTGGTTAAGCAACAATCATAAGTCAGAAATCGACTATCAGCTACCAAAATAATGCAAATGACATTAGGTTACGAAAAGTCGAAGCTAAGGTGAGTTGGTCTCGTGTATGTTCATGCGAAATTACGTACCCCCTCCAAGACTGACAAAATGCCGATCTCACACGCAGCATGTTTCAATGGAAAATATGTAGAGAGAATAAGGACAATCTAATAAAAAACACACTACTTGCAGCCGACACAATGTATCAAGAACTGATAAGATACATAGAAGCTGTTTGATAGCTTGAGAATGTAGCCTACTGGTTACATGTATCGCGAGTTCAGAGGATTCAGGTCGTACCAATATCCGATAGGGAGCCCACCTTCGTTATTACCACCATTGCCTCTAAATTGTCATAGTAAGTGATAGTATTACATCAGAAACATCGATTCCATCATTTACTCTTAATATTTAGACTGTGAAACTGTTGTAAAATCCTACTTGTTCATATTTAAAAGAAATAAGTATTGTAAACACACCTCTCATTTCCATAATGGAACTTACTGGAGGCAAGGAGGGCGAGTCTGTGAATGGCCATTTAGCGCTAAGGGGAGGACATCTCAAGCCAATCAGAGTAGCGCTGTCATTTCTGAATCGAGAAATTATATTTTTGACTGATCAAATGTGTAGTGAGCATCGTTTCTCTTGGAAGTTTATGTCCTTCATCTTTTCCACAATTACGGATTTTCCCACTTAACCTAGTTGATTTTCATTGTGACAAACGTAGGAGCTGTCAGAGGATGTGTAGCCTGCTGTTGCCCCACCTGTTTTGAGCCCCACCTGTTTTGAGCCCCACCTGTTCAGCAAAAAAAAAAAAAAGGCTCAAGGTCATTGGCCACAGATAGAATGACGTAAAATCACGTTATATTTACCATACATTTGATTGGACTGATCATGTCCACCTCATACTTTCAAAATCTTAGCAAGCAGTCATCATCATGAATCACTTCAACAATCTACCGGGAAAACCCTTTTCAATCCTTGTCATATGAAGAGAAATTATAGATAAAACGTATCGGTGGTCATCGGCCATTGGACATAAACATTACACAACAAGTTGGAAATCGCTATTTCAACAATGAGTGGTTTGGAAGGAATCAGTGGCTAACTGCAAGCGTTGCAAAGCAATCACGATTTTGCTTCCCCTGCTATTCGGTGGAGTGGGTGTGTGCTCCAAGTCTGGGTTTAAGGGTCTTTTTTCCAAGCTTAAAAGGGTAAACATTCACACGCAACACCATGGGCCAGAAAGGGTTGAATACATTGGCCATGCTGTCAATCTAGCATGACTTCTGCTGCATTCAAAACAACTGGAAACTCGGAACTGGGAAATCTCAGACTTCAGTGAGTTCAAGACAAGTGGGAACTCGGACTGGGAAAATATGTTTTGAATGGTCATCCAACTCGGAATTCCAAGTCGGGAACACTGACATCATGATTCGACCTTGTTTTTCCCCCAGAGTTCCCTGTTGTCTTGAAAGAACCATAAATCCAGAGAATGTCAGACTTTGATGACAAAGTTTAATGACAAAATTTGCCCACAAAAAGGACCGCCGCGCCATTTTCCTGTTCAAGTGAGCACAGCACAGCGGTGAGTCCAAAAATGTATTGTATGCTGCTGCATAAATGATGTAATATGCCAGGGAGGTATGTATACTGTAGCTAAGAAAGTAATACTAAGTGTATGTTGTGTAGTAAGCTGTTAATAGCTATGTGCCTCACCCTAATAATTTGGTCCGTTTCCCCCTCATAACTTAGCCTACTGTTCTGACTTGGTGGGGCACATGTAGCCTATACTAGCCTGTTTTAGAGAAATGCGAAATCATCGAATATTGTAAGAGATTTCATTTTCTGCTTATATGCCCCCTTTATTTATCCTACGGTTCGGACTTGGTGTACAGGGAAAATACTGTAAGAATGGCCCATGTTCAGAATTTTGTCGCTGTACATTTCAAAAGGGCTAAACAAATAGTTATATTGACTACGTTAATCTATATTGACTACGTCCATCATTAATGTCTTAATCAAAATTACTGATTGCCTCTTATCCGCTCATCATTCCCTTATGCCATAGTTTGTACATCTCAATTGTCAGTAGAAATCACATTTGTTTAAGCAAGTAAGCCATATCAGCTATGTTTTTTAAAAAAGGCAGTATATGAGTCTGAATTAACTGTTTCGCTGCCAGACAAGGCTCTGCTGATAGCCAGGTGTAGCGGTGGTAAGGATTCACTCCATGGTGCTGAAAAGAAAGCTCTCCTGTTGGGACAGCTTTATGTAGGCCCTAACAGTTTGTGGGCACCGTTTGTCACTGTTAACGTGCAATTAATGTATTGTTTAATGTTGTGTAGTGGCTTTGCTGGCATGCATCTAAAAAATGTTGGGGAGAGTTTGCCCCACCAAGATTTACATGCTAAAATCGCCACTGAGCACAGGAGAATGTAGAGTAGATGGTATGAAGTGGGTGCAATTACATGCAGATCAAACATTTTGTAATATGTATAATTAAACATGATAGGCTACATCTCTAGAGGAGAACAAAGACTCAAGCTAAAGGCAATCTACCATTTTATTTCATTTTCCCCCAACACCAATTACCGTGTACATTCATTATTTTTTCAACAACAGTATACCTTAAATCCCCATGAATGCAAGGTTTTACTGATAGTTTACATAAAAATAACATTGTATTTTACAATGCACAGAGGTATGCATTGAAAGAAAAAGATGCAGGGAAAGAAATCATGTGAGTTAGAAACAGCAGGCTTGAAATAACATCATCATTATGTGATGTAAATACAATGACATGAATGGTCATAGTAAAGACAGTACTTTCCTCAATAGCTACATTGACTGGGGATTCTGACCTACTGCTATCTCTAGAACACTATAGAACCACCCACTACAGACAAGCGCTGTATGTTATGGTGACAAAACAATGGAAAATACAATGTAACACTTTAGACCCTTGCACTACATTAATAAAACCCACTCATATAAAACACCCATGAAACATTTAAAGCCAACCACTGCAGGTTCTCATATAGGCTCAATGAGCCAGACTTTCTAGATTATCATAGTCCTGTAAGGGAAGGCAACATAGTAGTTCAATTAAACATTTACAATTTGTGTTTGCTTGCTGGACAAAGAACAATGTGTCAGGTACACATCAGAAGGGTTCTAACCCACGTCATGAGATTTCTTTGCACCAGTTCTGATAGTTAGGTTGGACTGTACTCAGAAGACTACCCCTGAATATTGACCATACATTTAGCAAAGAAGGTGTCTACAATCTGTTCAATGGGATGTGGACACCTGCTCGTCAAACATCTCATTCCAAAATCATGGGCATTAATATGGAGTTGGTCCCCCTTTTGCTGCTATAACAGCCTCCACTCTTCTGGGAAGGCTTTCCACTAGATGTTGGAACATTGCTGCGGGGCTTGCTTCCATTCAGCCACAAGAGCATTAGTGAGGCCGGGCACTGATGTTGGGCGATTAGGCCTGGCTCGCAGTCGGCGTTCCAGTGCATCCCAAAGGGTGTTCGTTGGGGTTGAGGTCAGGGCTCTGTGCAGGCCGGTCAAGTTCTTCAACACCGATCTCAACAAACCATTTCTGTATGGTCCTCGCTTTGTGCACAGGGGCATTGTCATGCTGAAACAGGAAAGGGCCTTCCCCAAACTGTTGCCACAAAGTTGGAAGCACAGAATCGTCTAGAATGTCATTGTATGCTGTAGTGTTAAGGTTTCTCTTCACTGTAACTAAGGGGCCTATTCCGAGTCATTAAAAACAGCCCCAGACCATTATTCCTCCTCCACCAAACTTTACAGTTGGCACTATGCATTGGGGCAGGTAGCGTTCTCCTGGCATCCGCCAAATTCAGATTTGTCCTTCAGTGAAGCGTGATTCATCACTCCAGATGACACGTTTCCACTGCTCCAGAGTCCAATGGCGGCAAGCTTTAAACCACTCCAGCCGACGCTTGGCATTGCGCATATTAATCTTAGGCTTCTGTGCGGCTGCTCGGCTATGGAAACCCATTTCATGAAGCTCCCGACAAACAGTTATTGTGCTGACATTGCTTCCAGAGGCAGTTTGGAACTCAGTAGTGAGTGTTGCAACCAAGGACGGACGATTTTTACACGCTACGTGCTTCAGCACTCGGTTGTCCCGTTCTGTGAGATTGTGTGGCCTACCACTTCGCGGCTGAGCCGTTGTTGCTCCTAGACATTTCCACTTCACAATAACAGCACTTAAAGTTGACCGGCGCAGCTCTAGCAAGGCAGAAATGTGAGAAACTGACTTGTTGGAAAGGTGCCATCCTATGACGGTGCCACGTTGAAAGTCACTGAGCTCTTCTGTAAGGCCATTCTACTGCCAATGTTTGTCTATGGAGATTGCATGGCGGTGTGCTCGATTTTATACACCTGTCAGCAACAGGTGTGGCTGAAATAGCCGAATCCACTAATTTGAAGGGGTGTCCACATACTTTTGTATATTTACATTTACATTTTAGTCATTTAGCAGACGCTCTTATCCAGAGCGACTTACAGGAGCAATTAGGATTAAGTGCCTTGCTTAAGGGCACAGACAGATTTTTCACCTAGTCGGCTATATATCGCGCATGTTATCTGATTCGTTCTCTTTGTAGAGATTACATTGAGACATCATGAGAAATATGGGCATAGGCCTAATGGTTACCAGCCTACACTGTATGGTGCAACAAAGGACGAACAAAACATGGCTTACGTCATGCTGGTTTAAAATCTTATACAATGAATTTTAATGGTTAGCTGGGAATAAGGCCTCTCCCTAAATGTTATCTGCTATGTGTCTGGATATTTTACTATGGTGAGGGGAAATAATACACCACAGACTGGTTGGGCCAGCATTTTTGTGTCAGATGAAATTATGAAATCGTTAAGTGTCCTGACCATTTTGACCATCCATGATTGTTAATACAACAATAGAGAATATTTCATTTCTGCCTCAACACTCACAATTCAATCTGTACAGTGCAATTTCATGGACTATAGGGCCATTTTAAAGCTACAGGAATTGATTCCGATCTCAACATGTCTCTTGATTTAAGAAATAATAGAGAATTGCAACACTATTGTACTGCAACTATGATGTGCCTCTAGTTCAAATGTAAAACAACCAAATGAAATAGCCCCTCTTCCCCATAGAGACAATGCAATGAGAAATGTAATTTTCACATCTTAAAAATCCTCATCATACAAATAGCACTTTTGTCCTTGATTCTGCAAACTAACAACATTTCATAAACCAATTGAAAAATAACTTGCAGAAAACCTCTCCCAATCCTTAAGCGTTCATAAATTTTGTTAATTGATTAACTCAATGAAAATCATTAGACAGAATGTAATACAACAAAATTAATTACCTATAGAGCAATATGAACAGAAAGGCATCTAGGGTATACGATCACATGCCAACAGCCCTCTTATCGCAGGAGGCTGCTGAGGGGAGAACGGCTCATGGAATGGCATGAAACACCTGGAAACCATGTGTTTGATGAATTTGCTCCCATTCCACTGATTCCGCTACCAGTCATTAGAATGAGCCCGTTCTCCCCAATTAAGGTGCCACCAACCTCCTGTGCCTCTTATGTATGTACAAACAATTCTAAGCCCAATCCAGGGCACATGACAATGGGACAACGGAATATGATAGGCTGGACAGAAGGGAGGGGAGTTGTTGTGAGACGCCATCTGAGGTTAGTCGCCCAGATTGGCAAAAATATAACCTAAATATGGCATTGTACAGTGTATAAGTTAGGAAAGGTATTAGCAACCAATGTACATGGTGTTGCCAGTTTCCGTGATTGTTTTGTGTAATATATCTTCAGGACCCTCTCTCTGAGAGGACAAACCGATGACTCTCAACAGCCCTTTGGACTTACCAAAGAGTAGCCAAGGGACAATCAAGAACTTAGTTCTCCCAATCATAACAGATACATTTAAGGGGAAATTACTAAACTTAACTGAAGCTTAGTATGATAGTAATCAGCAAAAGGCAATACAAATCAAAAACAGCATATTTGCTGGCACCTTGTTCCATATTATTTTGGATAATCTTTTCCATGTTTACGGATATTAAATGAACATGGGTAGGGAGGGAAGGTATGCCTTTGACAAAGACAACTAGGGTCACTGTTCCAACATTTCCCTTTTTTGAGATAATTCTGCACCTTCCACTTTGGAGAACACACAGGAGCACTCTGAATGACAGAACACACCTGCCCAGCTTAAAAAGGCAAATCATAAGGGAAAAGAAGGGTAAGGAAGGTCATCCTGAAATAAGGCTAGCTAGATTGCATAGAACTTGAACAATGCATTATGCAGCAAAGGGCTGTGCTCCGTTCCCCCAGTCAACACTGGTAACCATGGAGAGTCCAGTCAGGCTGTTTTTTTGTTTGGACTCTGGTGAGAACATTTCAATGTACAGTGTACTGTATGTGAATGATCCATCTGAATCCATGGGGTACATGCAAGTAGAAAATTGGGTGATTGCTCTTGATTTGTGATTTTCTGTGTGATTATTAAAAAACAGGCATATATTCTCACTGGTGAATACTGTTGTGTATGTTGTTCCCTGTTGACCAAATGGACTGTCCGCCTCAGGCCAACAGAATGACAATGGTGACAGTGCAACTGTTTCGACTATGCTAATAGTGAGCCAGTACGACTGGTTTGATAATGTTGATTGTTTTGCTGGATGTTCATGTGGAGCTCTGACTAGGTTGAAGGAACCAGCAAGGCAGCACTGAGGAAGAGAGCACAGCTCAGACACTATATTGTATATGCCACCTCTGCCTTATAACACTTGTGAAGCAAAGGAACCCCGTCCCCCTCCATCCATATGAGAACAGAGACATTAAGCACCAGTTCTAGGCCTGGGACAGTGGGCCAGACTTAGGACCATCAGGACCACCAGCCAAAAGTGCCAAACGGGCCAGCCACCAAGCAGGGTGGAGCTCTGTGAGCAGCTGTCTGTCAGTGAGTGGGGGAGGGAGGGGTGGTGCCAGGCAGGACAGCCATCAGCTGATTGGCACCTCTGCCTCTCCGTCCTTGTCCAGTAGTTCGTCCTGGATCTCGTCAGTATTCCCTGAGTCGCTGCTGGCCACCGAGCTAACGGAGGGAAGAGTTCCTGCCCCCTTTGATCATCCTCCTGCATGTCTCCATCTGCACGTCCAGACCACGCTTCATGCTACACATCTCCATGTACTCATGCAGGTGTCTGTTCATGTCACTCTTCGCTGTGGCTAGCTCCATCTGAGTGGGAGGGAGAGATGATGGGAGAGGAGAAAGGGAGCCAGAGAAAGAGAGAGAAGGGGATAGAGTAAGGAAGACCGAAGAGAGAGGGTAGGGAGGAGAGAGAGAAAGAGACATCAGTGACGTTGAGCTGGGACAGGTGCCAGCCCTGCCAGGGACTGAGTCACTCTGGCCAGATGAATCGTCACCGGAGTCACAAATCAAAACCAAACAGCAAGAGGGACAAAACAACCAACAAATCAAAGGCAGTCGTTGTCCTCCCATGTACTGTTAATTGACAGGTATTTATATTAGATACAATAGATCTCTAACAGGCAGATACATCTCAGGGAATTTCATTCTCCCTCTATTTTTGTCACATTCTCTCTCTCATACACGCACACACACACACACACACACACACACAGCCTGTTCACCTCAATCGCACCAATGGTCTCCTGGTACTCCTGCTCTCTGGTCTTGAATAGTGATTCGGTCTCATCTATGAGGCTGCCCAGGCTTCCATCCTGAGAGACCTGGGAAGAAGCAAAGAGGATTAGCTAAAACACTCACTCACTTTGTATATTGCATTTCATTTCTCAACTGTGAGCATAACAATGGGCAGGATTTGACCGCCAAGTCAAAATGAAAATAAGTTATTTTACTGCAAACATTTGAGTTTGCTGAATATGAATGGATGGGAAGTCTGGTAGGTAACCGACTCCTCAATGCCCTCCTGTACCCTTGACCATTAGTATATCAGCAGGTAGTGGTAATTGAAATGTTTTTGCATTGTCCTGTACATATGTATCCTTGACATTTACTGTGTGGTATCTAATCCGACTCACAGGCTCCTCTGTGTTGCTGTTGGCTGCGCTGGTGGCTGTGCAGTTTGCCGTGGTGATGGCACCAGGTTGGATGTTATAGTTGGTGAAGTCCTCCCATAGCAACAGGGTCTCGTCATTCTCTTCCCACGTCAGGCTGTCACAGTCGTCATCAATGTCAAATGTCTCCCTCCTGGCAACACAATTATCATCTGAACAATGTCTGTGTGGCACAGAGACAGGGAGAGGAAGGAAAAAGAGAGAGGGGGAGGAAAGGAGGAGAAACACAACAGGCACCACATTCACAAGAGGTCCAAACACAGAGGAGGAAGAAAGATGCATAGAGAAGACATGCAGGACTACATACAGTGTTTGAGAAAGACTTGAGACAGTGACAGGTGTTTGATGCCATTCCATTTGCTCCGTTCCGGACATTATTATGAGCCATTCTCCCATCAGCAGCCTCCTGTGGTGTGTGTGTGTGTGTGTGCGTGCGTGTGTGTGGAGGGGGTCATAATGAAGGCAGCTCTTTTCTTCCTGAATAGCTGTAATGAGTGTGCGTGTGAAGGCTGACTCACAGTTGGTTGAGCATTCGTTTCATTTCATCAGTGATGTTAAGAGGGACCTCCTCCTCCTCTGAGGTACTGGTGCTGGGGTCCGCATCCATCTCAGAGCTGTCCTCATCAGATACAGGCCTGTGCTCCTTCTTCCTGCAGCACGCCATGGCACCCTGGAACACACACGCCCAACCAGGATACTCACTCACTGCATCAATGCAGGACTGAATTTTGGGCAGTTTGTCTAATCTGACATTAATAATTTAGGCAGTACCTTGCACCACCTAAAAAGCTTCTGGTTTGATTCTGGCTGGATTCATATTTTGGCTTTAGCCAGCACTGTCGGCACAATGTGATAACGTGGTGCAGCGTGGAAAGTCACAGCGTCAGTTCACTACTGAGCAGCGAGTGTGTGTGTGTGTGTATATATGGAGGAAGGGTCAATGAGCATTGTGTTTGTGGCTGTGTGTGTCTGCCTATGTAGAAGAAAGTGTAGCAGCAGTATACTGTTAGTTGTTTCAGACTGAGGCCTAACATACAGATAGATACACACCCTCTCTGGGAGCGACCTGGCCGGGCTGACGTTGAACATCTTGGACATGTCCTCTGAGTTGCGCTGCTGAGCCACGTCACACAGTTTGGCGGTGATGTCGATGCGCCGGCAGATGTCCATGTCCACCCGCATGGCTTTCTCCTGGATCTTAGTGTCCAGGTCAGACATTTGCTGGAGAGGAAGGAGAGGTGTCTGTGTTGGCTGTGAAGCGGAGAATCATCCACCCAAAACCTCTACTTACTGTACTCAACAAATGTCTAAAGGCATTTCAAAGCTATCGGACTGATATGAATAACATAAGTCACATGCTGAGTTCGTCCATGAGTGTGTATCTGTGACTGGCCTTTGAAGCAGTATTAAAGTCAATTGAATACACTATGGTTAGATTGCAGACCCAGCAGAAACCCACATCCAGTCAGTCTGGGTCAATAACACATCATGCAACATCTCTGTGAAGGTACAAAGGAAACATCCTACACTCCAAGGTGAATTTGATCACTGCTGCATCTCATGCTTCTTTTTGTCACTCAATAATTTGCATTTACTCTAATATGCTAGTTATGACCAAACAATTCTATACTTCACTGTCTACAACACTCACAACACTGTTTCACAGTAGTGTGGTAAGGGAAAGGCTAGTATTTTGATTCTAGGGTGAAGGGAAGTGGGAAGGCAGGAATAGAGGTATCTCTTACTTTCATATCCAGATCCCTCCTGACATATTGGGAACGCCTGACATATTGGGAACTCAGACGTCGACCGCCCTTAATAGTGAGCAACGACAAAGTACACCTATTCAAAGGACACGTCCCAAATCACAGTGTTTATTCACTACCCTGGAGGTCTATCAGGTCACACTGTGTGTTGCCTCATATGTACTACTGTACTGCATATACAGTTGAAGTCGGAAGTTTACATACTTAGGTTGGAGTCATTAAAACCCGTTTTTCAACCACTCCACAAATGTCCCTTTTAAAAAAACTATCATTTTTGCAAGTCGGTTAGGACATCTACTTTGTGCATGACACAAGTAATTTTTCCAACAATTGTTTACAGACAGATTATTTCACTTATAATTCACTGTATCACAATTCCAGTGGGTCAGAGGTTTACATACACTAAGTTGACTGTGCCTTTAAACAGCTTGGAAAATGGCATCATGAGGAAGGAACATTATGTGGATATATTGAAGCAACATCTCAAGACATCAGTCAGGAAGTTAAAGCTTGGTCGCAAATGGGTCTTCCAAATGGACAATGATCCCAAGCATACTTCCAAAGTTGTGGCAAAATGGCTTAAGGACAACAAAGTCAAGGTATTGGAGTGGCCATCACAAAGCCCTTAATCCTATAGAAAATTTGTGGGCAGAACTGAAAAAGCGTGTGCGAGCAAGGAGGCCTACAAACCTGACTCAGTTACACCAGCTCTGTCAGGAGGAATGGGCCAAAATTCACCCAACTTATTGTGGGAAGCTTGTGGAAGGCTACCCAAAACGTTTGACCCAAGTTAAACAATTTAAAGGCAATGCTACCAAATACTAATTGAGTGTATGTAAACTTCTGACCCACTGGGAATGTGATGAAAGAAATAAAAGCTGAAATAAATCACTCTCTACTATTATTCTAACATTTCACATTCTTAAAATAAAGTGGTGATCCTAACTGACCTAAGACAGGGAATAGGATTAAATGTCAGGAATTGTGAAAAACTGAGTTTAAATGTATTTGGCTAAGGTGTATGTTAACTTCCGACTTCAACTGTATCCTTCTCTGACTACAGATATTTGTGCCATGAGGAGGAAGCTGCTATTACCCATAATGCCACTAACCGACATGGCCAGTTAAATACAGAAGTAAATAAGAGAGGGTGCCAAGCTAGAATGGTTTCAACGGAAATCCAAACGACTCCTTGCTAGTTTTGTGTATTCATTCCTGACCAAACAAAAGCTAAGGCTGAGCCAGCTGCAATATATTACAGCCGTCACACTAGAGCCAAGCTCCATGGGAAAAATAAAGTGCTGCGCAGACATAGCGTAAGGTCCTGCTGATTGACTGTCTGTTTATGAACGCTTGCTATCTGAGCATTCAATGAATGCCTATCTGAAAGGCCCTCTTGCGTTTGCAGCAGAATATGTTTCCATTGCTGGGTAAAAATCCAAATAAGGAGGGGTGTGAATCTGCTAGCCTGTCCTGGAGCGAAGTCTCTGAGTGTTCAGGATGATGAATGAAGCCCAAAGGACCTCTACAGTATGACTGACAACATCTATCATCACCTATGAAGAACAATACTACTGTCAATACAACCACTGCTGTTGTATTGTTGAGAATATAATTGGCATCCTTTTAACAGGAATATGACTGTGGTATCTGTCAGTCTGTGACAGTGTGCTGCAGTGGAGTGTGAAGGGAGGGTGTGTATGCTATACTCACATCGCTCATAAGACTCTTAAAGACCACCAGCTCAGCCTTCAACCTGTCCACCTTCTCATTCAGTTCATCCTGGATCTCCTCTGACTCCTGGGCACTCTGAACATACACCCCACACACACACACACACACACACACACACACACACACACACACAGATTTACACAATTCAAAACACATGCCCCAAGCACATACACTCAAACACATGCAGCAAAAACCAACACACATTCTTATTTACCATATTTGAGATATTGAATAATATTGAATATGGCCCCAATCTACAGTGAGCTCCATAATTCATTGGACAGTAACCATTTTTTTGTTATTTTAGTTCTGTACTCTAGCACTTTGAGTTTGAAAGGATACAATGACAATGAGGGTGAAGTGCAGACTGTCAGCTTTAATTTGAGGCTATTTTCATACATATCGGATGAATCATTTAGAAATGACAGCACCTTTTGTACATGGTCCCCCCATTTTAAGGTACTACAAGTATTTGTTAAATTGGCTTCACAGATGTGTGTCATTAGGCAGGTGTATTAATTTGTGTCGTTAGTGAATGCAGGAGAGCTGTTGATGAATAGTATTGATTCTAGACTTTGCTATTGCCTTTGGAGGTTGTTGTTGGGGTGTGACAACATGAGGAAGACAGCAGTGTCGATGCAAATGAAGCTGGCCGTCATAAGGCTCAGAAATGAAAATCAATCAATCAGGAACATTGCAAAAACCCTGGCCATGCCCAAGTCAACAGTTTGGTTCATCATTAACAAGAAAAAAACAACCGGTGAACTCAATTATGTCAAAAGACCCGGTAGACTGAGGAAGACCACTGTAGTGGATGACCGGAGAATACTCTCTATGGTGAAGAAAACCCCCCTGACAACAGCCCAACAGATCAAAAACACTCTCCTGGATGCAGGTGTAGATGTGTCAAAGTCTACCATACGTAGAAGACTACACCAGCAGGACTACAGAGGGTACACTACAAGATGCAAACCACTGATAAGTCTGAAGAACAGAAAGGCGAGATTACAGTTTGCTAAAAAGCACCTAAAAGAGCCCCAAGAGTTCTGGAAAAAAGTATTGTGGACAGATGATACAAAGATTGACATGTACCAGAGGGATGGAAAGAGGAAAGTGTGGAGAAAAAAAAGAAATTCCCATGATCCAAAGCATACCACCTCATCCGTGGAGGGGGTGTTATGGCTTGGGCCTGTATGGCTGCCAGTGGAACAGGCTCACTTGTCTTTATCGATGATGTGACTGCAGACAGAAGTAGAACAATGAATGAAAGTCTACAGAAATATTTTATCTGCTCAGATAAAACCAAATGCCTCCAAACTCATTGGACGGCACTTCATCATGCAACAAGACAATGACCCTAAACATACTGCTAGAGCAACAAAGGGGTTTTTGATGGCCAAAAAGTGGAAAATCCTTGACTGGCCGAGACAATCACCGGATCTGAATCCAATTGAACATGCATTTTACATGCTGAAGAGGAGACTGAAGGCAATAAGTCCCCAAAATAAGCAGGAACTGAAGATGGCTGCACTACAGGCCTGGCAGAGCATCACCAGGGAAGATACCCAGCGTCTGTTGATGTCAATGCATCGCAGACTTCAAGCAGTCATTGCATGCAAAGGATATGCGACCAAATATTAACAATGATTACTTTATTCTACATTATGTTAAACTGTCCAATGTTTTTTGATGCCTGAAAATGGGGGGGACCATGTACAAAAGCTTCTATAATTTCTAAACGGTTCATCCGATATGTATGAAAATACCCTCAAATTAAAGCTGACAGTCTGCACTCCACCCTCATTGTCATTGTATCCTTTCAAACTCAAAGTGCTAGAGTACAGAACCAAAATAACAAAAAAATGGTCACTGTCCAATGAATTATGGAGCTCACTGTATATTTGTACATTATGGTGTGGAATAACTAAGTGATAAAGATGGATTACGGACATTACAGTAGATGCAGAGGGGGACTACATACATAGTAAATCACGCTACATAATCACCTGATATCCTTTATCAAATTACTATCATAGAGCAGATTTCCTGTTTCAATTCCATGCTAAACAACATCTGCCTGTGTGAGCTCAGAGAGGTAAGAGCCCCCCAGGGAATTCTCTTCACTTCCAGCATTCTGCTGACCCATAATCCAAAACAAACACAGATGCTGCCGTTGATCGATGTGTCCGTCGACGGTGGTGCAGAAAGAGGGGGTTGCTACTATACTAGCACCTGCTGAGGCTTTTGATGTGGCATAGGAAGTATAGTGCCTGCCTTGGGCCATGATACTGTAAACTGATGTGACGATGGGGACTAATGTGTTTTATCTACACAGAGAGACAGGGAATAGTGGTGAGACACTGACATTCAGGTCTGCTATGCGAGGTAAGTGATTCAGCAGGGAATATATATTTTCAAGCACCTATATGCTTCATGTTTGTCTCTCTGTCTGTCTTCTTTAGTAGAATTGGATGTTGAGATTAGAGATTAGAGTGAATTGATGTAATGGTGAAGGTGAATTGTTGTAATGGTGACGGTAAATTGATGTAATGGTGGTGAATTGTTCTAATGGTGAAAATAAATTGATGCAATGGTGAAAGTGAATTGTTGTAATGGTGAAGGTAAATTGATGTGAAGGTGAATTGATATAATGGTGAAGGTATATTGATGTAATGGTGAAGGTGAAATGATGTAATGGTGAAGGTGAATTGATGGTTAATGTTTACTTACCTCCTGCATGGATTCCACAATGGACTCCATATGCTCTCGTCTGTTCAGCTCCTCTTCCCATCTACAACACAGAACACACGGAGGGTCAGTTAACTGCACTTACATGGCTATGCTTATACATTTACATTTTAGTCATTTAGCAGACGCTCTTATCCAGAGCGACTTACAGTTAGTGAGTGCATACATTTTTCATACTGGTCCCCCGTGGGAATCGAACCCACAACCCTGGCGTTGCAAGCGCCATGTTCTACCAACTGAGCTACACGGGACATGAGTATTATACATGAGTATTGTAACATATACGCCTTATTGACCTTTGAGGTATATTAGTGTGAATAGAGTGTCACAGATAGTAAAGTCATACACTATATATACAAAAGTATGTGGAGCCCCTTTAAATTTGTGGATGCCACTATTTCAGCCACACGTTTCTGACAGGTGTATAAAATCGAGCACACAGCCATGCAATCTCCATAGGAAACATTGGCAGTAGAATGGCTTTACTGAAGAGCTCAGTGACTTTCAACGTGGCACCGTCATAGGATGCCACCTTTCCAACAAGTCAGTTTGTCAAATGTCTGCCCTGCTAGAGCTGCCCCGGGTCAACTGTAAGTGTTGTTGTTGTGAAGTGGAAACGTCTAGGAGCAACAATGGCTCAGCCGCAAAGTGGTAGGCCACACAAGCTCACAGAACGGGACCGTCTGTCCTCGGTTGCAACACTCACTACCGAGTTCCAAACTGCCTCTGGAAGCAACGTCAGCACAAGAACTGTTCGTCGGGAGCTTCATGAAATTAGTTTAGGCACACAAGCCTAAAATCACCATGCGCAATGCCAAGGGACGGCTGGAGTGGTGTAAAGCTCACCGCCATTGGACTCTGGAGCAGTGGAAACGCGTTCTCTGCAGTGATGAATCACGCTTCACCATCTGGCAGTCCGAAGGATGAATCTGGGTTTGGTGAATGCCAGGAGAACTCTACCTGCCCGAATGTAAAGTTTGGTGGAGGAGGAATAATGGTCTGAGGCTGTTTTTAATGGCTCGGGATAGGCCCCTTAGTTACAGTGAAGGGAAATCTTAATACTATAGCATACAATGACATTCTTGACGATTCTGTGCTTCCAACTTTGTGGCAACAGTTTGGGGAAGGCCCTTTCCTGTTTCAGCATTACAATGCCCCCGTGCACAAAGCAAGGTCCATACAGAAATGGTTTGTCGAGATCGGTGTGGAAGAACTTGACTGGCCTGCACAGAGCCCTGACCTCAACCCCATCAAACACCTTTGGGATGAATTGGAACGCCGACTGTGAGCCAGGCCTAATCACCCAACATCAGCGCCCGACCTCACTAATGATCTTGTAGCTGAATGGAAGCAAGTCCCCGCAGCAATGTTCCAACATCTACTGGAAAGCCTTCCCAGCTGTGTGGAGGCTGTTATAGCAGCAAAGGGGGGACCAACTCCATATTAATACCCATGATTTTAGAATGAGATGTTCGACGAGCAGGTGTCCACATACTTTTGGTCATGTAGTGTATGTGCGTCATTGTCCTTTCTCTCCCTCTCTCTCTCTCTGACACAACCTCATTGGATAACGCTGGGCAGGCCTCTTGCTAGCTGTCACTCAAATGTGAGGGTCTGAAGCTCATTGGCTAGAACTCGAATTGCTAGGGGGAAATGTAGGGAAAATGGCACAGCAGAACTTCAAGAAAACACTCACTTCCAAACTAGCGATTTCGTGGCTAATTGATTATGCAGTGCATTCGGAAAGTATTCAGACCCCATGACATTTTCCACATTTTGTTACGTTACAGCCTTATTGTAAAATGGATTCAATTGTTTTTCCCCCCTCATCAATCTACACACAATACCCCATAATTACAAAGCAAAAACAGGTTTTTGTAAATGTATAAAAAACTGAAATATCACATTTACATACAGTACCAGTCAAAGGTTTGGACACACCTACTCATTCAAGGGTTTTTCTTTATTTTACTATTTTCTACATTGTAGAATAATAGTGAAGACATCAAAACTATGAAATAACACATATGGAATCATGTAGTAACCAAAAACGTGTTAAACAAATCAAAGTATATTTTATATTTTATATTCTTCAAAGTAGCCACCCTTTGACTTGATGACAGCTTTGCACACTCTTGTCATTCTCTGAACCAGCTTCACCTGGAATGATTTTCCAACAGTCTTGGAGGATTTCCCACAGATGCTGAGCATTTGTTGACTGCTTTTCCTTCACTCTGTGTCCAACTCATCCCAAACCATCTCAATTGGGTTGAGGTCGGGTGATTGTGGAGGCTAGGTCATCTGCTGCAGCACTCTCCTTCTTGGTCAAATAGCCCTTACACAGCCTGGAGGTGTGTTGGGTCATTGTCCTGTTGAAAAACAAATGATAGCTCCACTAAGCGCAAACAATATGGGATGGCGTATCGCTGCAGAATGCTGTGGTATTCATGCTGGTTAAGTGTGCCTTGAATTCTAAATAAATCACAGACAGTGTCACCAGCAAAGCACCCCCACATCATCACACCTCCTCCTCCATGCTTCACGGTGGGAACAACACATGTGGAGATCATCCGTTCACCTACTCTGCGTCTCACAACGACACGGCGGTTGGAACCAAAAATCTCAAATTTGGACTCATCAGACCAAAGGACAGATTTCCACCGGTCTAATGTCCATTGCTTGTGTTTCTTGGCCCAAGCAAGTCTCTTCTTCTTATTGGTGTCCTTTAGTGGTGGTTTCTTTGCAGCAATTCGACCATGAAGGCCTGATTCACGCAGTCTCCTCTGAACAGTTGATGTTGAGATGTGTCTGTTACTTGAACTCTGTGAAGCATTTATTTGGGCTGCAATCTGAGGTGCAGTTAACTCTAATGAACTAATCCTCTGCAGCAGAGGTAACTCTTGGTCTTCCTTTCCTGTGGCGGTCCTCATGAGAGTCAGTTCCATTATAGCGCTTGATGGTTTTTGCGACTGCACTTGAAGAAACTTTCAAAAGTTATTGAAGTAATGATGGACTGTCCTTTCTCTTTGCTTATTTGAGCTGTTCTTGCCATAATATGGACTTGGTCTTTTCGCAAATTGGGCTACCTTGTCACAACACAACTGATTGCTGAACCTCTAAAGCTCTGTCAGGTTGGATGGGGAGTGTCGCTGCTCAGCTATTTTTAGGTTTCCTCCAGACGTGACGCTTGGCATTCAGGCCAAAGAGTTCAATCTTGTTTCTCATGGTCTGAGCGTCCTTTAGGTGCCATCTGGCAAACTCCATGCCGGCTGTCATGTGCCTTTTACTGAGGAGTGGCTTCCATCTGGCCTGTCTACCATAAAGGCCTGATTTGGTGGAGTGCTGCAGGAACTCTGGAGCTCTGTCAGAGTGACCATCAGGTTCTTGGTCACCTCCCTGACCAAGGCACTTCTCCCCCGATTGCTCAGTTTGGCCGGGCGGCCAGCTCTAGAAAGAATCTTGGTGGTTCCAAACCTCTTCCATTTAAGAATGATGGAGGCCACTGTGTTCTTGGGGACATTCAATGCTGCAGAAATTTCTTTGTACCCTTCCCCAGATCTGTGCCTCGACACAATCCTGTCTCAAATTTTATTTTATTTTATTTGTCACATATATACGTGTTTAGCAGATGTTATTGCGGGTGTAGCGAAATGCTTGTTTTTCCCGGCTATATGTAATGATACAAAACACTTTCTGAGCTAATAATGTAAAAAATAATACATTAAAAAACAAAATTCTGCATAGTTTCCTAAGAGCTAGTCGCGAGGCCTCCATCTTCGTCAGCGCCTGAATCAATCCTGTCTCGGAGCTCTACGGACAATTCCTTCGACCTCATGGCTTGGATTTTGATCTGACATGCACTGTCAACTGTGGGACCTTATATAGACAGGTGTGTGATTTTCCAAATCATGTCCAATCAATTGAATTTACCACAGGTGGACTCCAAGTTGTAGAAACATCAAGGATGATCAATGGAAACAGGATGTACCTGAGCTCAATTTCGAGTCTCATAGCAAAGGGTATTTTATTTATTTATTTTTACTAAATTTGCAAAAAAATCTAAAACCTGTTTTCACTTTGTCATTATGGGGTATTGTGTAGAGATTGATGAGGGGGGGGGAATTATTTAATCCCTTTTAGAATAAGGTTGTAACGTAACAAAATGTGGAAAAAGTGAAGGGGTCTGAATACTTTCCAAATGCACAGACACATCCAGCCCAAAGCTGGAGTTTAAAAAATACTTTCTTAGTCGCCAAAGTACCCGGCACATGTCTTTAAAAGGCATCTACCAGAGCCTCATCATTACATGGAATTCAGTGGCTAACATCAACGGAATAAACATTCCTTCCATCCACATCACACAAGGAAGAACTAGCACGTGCTACAGCTTGGGCAAGAACCTGGAAATTAATGTCAATGTATGTGACCTCTAAGGAGATTAATACCATTGGAATAAATAATTGAAAATATTTAACAGCCAGAAAAGGAATGTTGTTACTCAAGAAAACCTTCAGAGTTATTGTTTGTATAAACTAGGGACGGACCACTTTGATGGGGGTGGGGGCCACAACAAATCTGAACTCATCATGAGGGGCTGCAGTGGCTCGCGGGTCCACACATGCAGTTAGAGCCAGCCCTTGTCTTTTGGGGGCCCTAAGTGAAATTCTGTTGCAGTTTTACAGCTAATTTCCTGCAATTCTACACATTTTTCCATAGGGTGGAGAGAAATGTTTGCATTAATATGATATCTGAGTGAGAGTGCCTAACAAAATCAATGGGGGCCCCGGTCGGTAATTCGACCATGATTACTACAAGTTTAGATGGCTGGCTAGACTATCTTGCCAATCTAAAAAGTTTTTGCTGACATGGGCTAATTGAGTGACTGTCCGTGACTGACATAACAAGAGAAAAACTGCTGATGCACAACCACATTTGGAAATTGCACCTTGTGTATTCTACTATTCTAATTGTCCACTGTAAGTTGAGACCCCAATTGAGTTCCCTCCCAAAAT